ATCTGGGTTTAAAAATAGATCCCCACTTACATGTGATTGCACCCTAAAGTACTTGATAAGTGATTTATCAACAGAACACCCACTGCCATTGGATTGATTTGTACTCATAGTGAACCTATAGGACAGAATAAAACTACCCCAGAGTTTTTGAGGCTGCAAATCTTTACAGAATCAGAATGCTTCATCTTTCTCTGACCGAGCAGTTCTTGGGTTGGAACCACTGACCTTTTGGTTAGCAGGCAAAATGCCTAAGCCACTGCAATACCAGGGCTCCTTTACCAATAGAAAGTACTATATAAATATTGTTGCTATGAAGTATTGACCAACTATATTCAGTAATACTGCAGATCAAATCTGTATGGCCCATGTCCACAGTGATGAGTACTATACCCCAGAAAGTCTCTAATGAAGATGTTAGCTACTCTCTCACCTAGAACCAGTAATAAAAAGGGTACTTTGAAAATTATATGTAAACTCAAAAATACCAAAACTAACTTACCTATCTCCTGAAATCACCTTTACCTGAACAACAACAAAAAAATTCCATAAAGTGTCTGAGCATCAAGCTTTTTTATTAAGTTGGCATATAGCTAGACTACTTTAAATTCAAACTGGATGAACTAAATTGGGATTCACTAAAGCTAACTTGTTTAAAGTAGGTCAATTCATAGTCAATAGTTCATAAGCTAAAAAGTATACTGCCCAAAGAAAGTTTTTGCATTATATACACATTTCTTTTTCCACGAAGAGAACTTTATGTATTAAGAAGTTTTCAAAGAAGGTCACTGCTGTGTATCAAGTAGATGAGTGAGCTTTTATGCTACTTTTCTTTTATTCTAATCATTACAGGTTTTAGCCACTGGGAAGGAGTTAACACTCGCGTGGCTCTGGTAGCCTAGTGCCTAAGGCATTTGACTGTAAATGAGAAGGCTGGCAGGGAAACTGAGCAATCTACTTCCGTAGTGATACCGCCTAGGAAACCCAAGGAGGGGTCGGTATGCGTGGGACCCAACTCCACGGCAGTGAGTTTGGTTTGGTTTTGGGGGCTGCATTTATTAACTCTCCTTACCCATCACAATGCAAGTGTTAGTCGTGGAAACTCTATAGTTCTACACTGTTCTATAGGGTAGCTATCAATCGGAATGACCTTATGGCAATGGGATACACACACACACATATACGTATAAAATCAACAGACCATTTCTTAAGCAGTTTTGCTAGTGGAGTTAGCAGTACAATAACTAAATACAGGACATACTGCACACCAAAAACGAATTAAATTCTATTACAGAATGTAAAATATCATTCATTCATGAGTTCCTAACCAATCTTTCGCTTGAGGAACATTAAAATTAGCATGCAACCAAATAAACACTAGAATGTGCCACAAACAACTTAAAACGGACAATAAATAAAAATCACTAAAAGAGATACATATTTATTTTCTTTATAACTCATATGCTGTGATTTAAAAAAAAAAATGAAATATAATCACTTTTCCTGTTCAGGTCTGTGGACAGGGAACGTCCTTAGGTGAGGTGGAATGCAAGCTTGTAAACTTAACTACACGCTCCAGACCAACGTGCCCTCAGTGCAGCTAAGGCGGGAAGGCCTTGCTCCTGACGTCCGTTTACCCGGTAAAGCTAAAGAGGGACTGGACATCCCTTAAGTGGGCCTAGGACCTGAAAGAGTCAGGACAAGATGCAGGAAACCGTACCGTGTTGGAAAAGGAGATTCCGGCGTCAGACAACTGTACCCTAAGCAGCATCTGATTTCCATCATCCAAAAAGTTGTTAATTTCAGGACAGTTGTACAGCAAGGGCTGATCTCTGGGTTCCGAAATCAATCCGAAGTAGTTTTGGGTAGTAGTTAAGATAAAAACCTTCCGAACGTCCCCGGTCCCGCCTGCCATTATTTAGGGGGGGGGGGTTGTGGAGGAGAGAGGAAAGATGGGAAACAGGGAAAGAGGAAAAAACAATCCCCAACGGAAATCGGGGATAAGCTCAAGCCTGCAGTTGGCCTGCTGGACCGCAGAGCTTCGCGGTTGCCAGGGAGAGTCGCTATGGCGACACAGTGCCAAAGCTGCGTCGCTGGCGACACGCAGCGAACGTTTCCGTCTCGAGCACGCGCACGCAAAGGTCAGGAAGAGATCGACCACCTCGGAGCTCATTAGCTGCTCCCTGCGGTCATCGATTGTTTGGGCTTCCGGTGAGTTCCTGTCAGCTAGTAAAAACAAAACTTGGCGGTTTGAAACCATCAGCCCTTGAAGAGAGAAAGATGAGACAGTGGGTATCGGTAAAGATTTATAGACTTGGAAACCCTATTGGGAGTTCTACTCTGTCCTAAAGGGTTGCTGTGAGTCGGAATTGACTTGATGGCAGTGAGTTTGGTTTGGGTTTTTATTCTCCTATAATAATAGCTTATTAGATACATACAGCTTTCCAGTGCCACAGCATGACTAGATTTAGGAGAGCTGGATTCTAGTGCTCCCTTTGCCACCTGCACTCATTTGCAAACCACTGTGTCAACGTTCATCCCGACTACACATCTGAAAAGTGAGAAACTATGTCACACTCAAGATTATAATAAAGATATAAAAAGATGACTATTTTAAAACAGCTTTTCAAAGAGAAGTCAAGAGACTAGAAGTTCAAAACCAGTCAATTTATTTCCTCAGTCTTTCTCCACTCGTTTCTATATTGGTTAACTTCCCACCATTGATTTGACTTTATTATTATATTATTAATTTCAGATCAATTTAACCACCAATTTTTCATCACAATTATTATTCAGTCCACCACAACCACCACCACCAATTATTGTTCAGCTGACTCTGTGTGTCGGAATAAAAGTATACTGCAAAGAGATTTTAATGGCTGATTTTTTCAGAAGTACTCCAGGCCTTTCTTCCAAGAGGCTTCTGGGACTGGAATTTCCAACTCACCAAAATAGGTATTTGTTAACTTCTTTTACAACAAGCAACCAAATCTGAAGAAATGCAGAAATAGCAACATTGAACAAGTTAATATGAGATTTGAGAGTGCTGAAGTGATACTAATACAATAGTGGAGCTCTAACTGCCTTTCTCTCTCTGTGTGTCTCTCTCACTTTTTTTTCCATTGCCATCAAGTCATTCTGACTGAGGGAAACAAAGTAGAACTGACCCATAGAGTTTCTAAGGCTGTAAATCATTAAAGGCACACAATGCTGCATCTTTCTCCTGTGGAGTGGCTGATGGGTTTGAATTGCCAACCAAGCACTTAATCATGGCACCAGCAAGACCCCTTTCTAACACCTAAGGAAGATAATGTTATCTATCCAAAGAAACTTGTCTATGTAAATTTCAAATGTTATTGAGTGTTTTCACTTCTTGCAAACCTTCACAAAGATGCTTCAAATAAGTGTAACAGAGTCCCTGTGTGCTGAAAATGGTTAAAGCACACTGGGCTGCTAACTAAACCAGATGGAGATTCTAGTACACCCAGAAGACCCTTGGAAGAAAGGCCTGGTGGTTAACTTCAAAATAATCAGCCATTAAAAACCCTATGGAGCACAGTTCTACACATGAGATCACCATGAGTCAGAGTCTACTCAAAGACAACTGGTGTAATAAGTGTAATACCTCACATACAAAAAGGATTTGTTTTTTGAAACTTGTTTAATACAATTTATCAAATTTGTGATTTATACACCCAACCTTAGGAGCTCTGGTAGCGTAGTGCCTAAGGCACTTGACTGCTAACCAGAAGGCTGCCCATTCAAATCCACCAGCCACTCCTCAGAAGGAAGATGGGGCAATCTACTTCCGTAGTGATACTGCCTTGGAAACCCAAGGAGGGGTCGCTATGAGTCATGTCCGACTCGACAGCACATAACAACAACAACAATTGATGATGTAACAAATGATCACAGATTTAGTGGTTTAAAACAATAACTTTTAGTATCTTACAGTTCTAGAGATTAAAAAATCCAGAATGGGTTTCTCTGGACTGAGACCCAGATGTTTACAAGGCCAGGCTCTTCCTGGAGGCTCTAGAAGAAAATCTGTTTCCTTGGCTTTTTCCAGCTTCTATATTCTGCATTCCTTGCCTTCTTTGGCTCATGGTCCCTTCCTCCATCTTCAAAGCCAGAAGTTTTGCATTTCTCACTACTTTGGTTGTGAAATCCTCTACTGTCTCTCTAATCTCATGTCTCCCTCCTATAAGGGCACCTGTGATTACATCTAGTCCACCCAGATAGAGTCATTTTTCAGCCTATCACAGGTTACTACCTCACTTTCTTCTTGGTGCCCTCAGTCTTAGCTCTCTATGTACATATAAACTGTGCAATCAGCATTCTGTTTATCAGAAATATATAAATATATATCAGTAGCATATATAAAGCTCATAGCTAGATATACTTGGTAGACCATTAGGGTAACCCACAAGTTTATTTTCAGGAGGTACTAAGAATCTTCAAGAGAACTAGGGACCCACAATGATGGATACAGCCAGTAACTTATAAAATATAGGTTAGTGTGAAAAATGGCCCAATTTTCACACCTCACTAACACCCAAGGGAACTAGGGTTCAATTACATAATCCCTTCCTCTATACCTGGACTAATTGTTCCTCATAGTAACTATCACTACTTCTCACCAGCATTCTTTCTGGAATCTTTAAAGAAGTAGGGCCTATGAACCTCCTCCCTTACCCACCACTATTCAGTTTCTTTAGCAGGAATTACATTTGGAACATTAGCACCAACTAATTATGCCACAGAGTCCCTAGCTGGTACAAAGAGTTAACATGCTCAGCTGCTAACTGAATGGTGGAGGTTCAAGTCCACCTAGAGGCACCTCAGAAAAAAGGCCTGGAGATATGCCTCCAAAAAAATCAGCCATTGAAAACCCTACTGAGCAACAGTTTTACTCTTGCATACATGAAGTTGCCATGAGTCAGAACCGACTCTGTGGCAACTGGTAACTTGTTACCAAGCACTGTAAGCATGTAAGTTTGCAAAGCTGTCTTGCATAATACTTTTTCAATGAAATGTATTGAAACTATATCACATTTTTTGATAACCACTTGTCTGATGAAGACATTGCTTTTAATTCTGCCTTTTAGCATCATAAAGTCATCTCACAAAACCAATATTTTCACATTCTTGGTATAAAAGATTTTCAGAATATATTAATAGGTAATCTTTTCCTCTATAATGATGCTGATTATTCTTTGAGATGCTTTGATGCAGCTTTCTTGATTGTGTACATACTCTTATCTTTCCTTTTATGTCAAGGAAAGCCTTGCTTAGACTTATAACTGAATGTTTTTTTATTACATTTTTAAAAAGTACATATCCACTGATGTAAACTGCTTATATAAACCGTTTCTTGAGTCATTTTTTATATTTCTACTTGCATAAAATGATTGTTTAATAGCTTCCAATTAAATCAGAGTTTTCTGTTTCATATCCCAACATCTTTTTTTGGGTAGATTATGTGATAAAATTACAACCTTTTGCCATCACATTCTATTGGTATGTGAAGTAACAGAACATCAACAAGCTGGCAGCATGAGTTTGCTCAGCAGGATAGTACTTTTAAAGAAAAAGTATCCACGTCACAATTTCCATTTTTCAAGCACTGATTGGCACTTTACTCTCTAAAAATATTTAATCCAAAATGAAATTTGAAACTTTATACCATTAAGAAATATACTCACTGGAATTAATGAAAATTATTTCTATCATATGTCTAGTGTTCTTGTCAAGAATGGGGCTATGAAGTCAATGAAAACATATGTTGGGAAAGTCCTTTATTAGAGAAAGGAGAGAGACCTAAGATGTCTAGGTTATGCACAGTCCTATCCATTGAGTCCAAATGTGTCTCCTCATGGTCTGCTGTCTATAAACTGAAAAGTTATCTGACCTTTCTGCTAGGGAATCTGAGTACTTGAAAGTTGTTGTAAGGCTCAAACAAAGTCTGTTTTTGTTTAGTTCAGGCTAATGATTTTTTTAACAATCCAATTCCCTCAACAATGTAGTAGACTTTCTTATATATTTGCTTCTAATTCCATATTTTGAACTCCCTATTCTAGTTTTTTCTTTTCTTAAATTCTCAAGAATGATTTATTTCTTTGCTTCCTCATACCCATGCCCTTCTCTTTCAATTTAATGATGGCTTTTTTGAGGCTATCTGAAACAACAGGTTTGGATGGCAAAGTTACAACATGTAGTCTGATCTTTGCCATTTGCTTGTACTACCTTTTGTAAAATTGAGAGGTTTTTTAGTACTTTTGTCACTCAAAACTTTTTCAGTCTTATCTCTATGACTTAGGGTCTAGAATCAGTCAGTTTTTCTTACCATGAAAGGCCCTGATTACTAGAATTCCTTAGTAACCTCCCATCTCTGCTTCTTGTTGTTGTTGTTGTTATGTGCCGTCAAGTCGGCCCCGACTCATAGTGACCCCTCCTTGGGTTTCCGAGGCAGTATCATTACGGAAGTAGGATTGCCCAACCTTCCTTCCGAGGAGTGGCTGGTGGGTTTGAACCTCCAGCCATCTGGTTAGCAGGCAAGTGTCTTAGCCACTATGCTACCAGAGCTCCCATCTCTGCTAGAAAACCAAAAATGCTCATATGATCTTATCTCTTTCATATGATATTTTGTAAAAGCAGCCAACAGTAGCCAACACACACTATCACCCTGCTTCCAGCTAATTCCCAGAGAGTCTCATTAGGCTCATGGTCTACCTTCCAAGTTCTCTCTGAGTTTTCTGAAACTTTTTACTAGATATTTTATAGACACACTAAGATTCCCCAAGTACCCAGCCTTCTAATTTGTTTCCTTGCTGTCTGCCCCACTGATTCTATAAGACATATTTTAGTTTCTGAATAACAGTAACCTCTTTCCAAGCATCAACGTCTGTATTAATG